GTCATTTTAGGCTGTATCATTTAGTCCATTCATTGTGTAATTTACACACAATGTAAAGGGCAACAGGGATTTTCAAATTATGTCGAAAACCGAAAAACGTCAAAAATGGAGATACAAGGTTTTCTTCCGACAACAGCGATACGTAAATGATCCCTGTTCTGATTGACCACTCTGTGTTGCAGGTCATCCAAAAAGCAGTCCGGGCTAAAACACTCCTTATAACCTCAGAATGAAGAGGTGGAGATAAGCTTCCGTGAATGCACTGGATTCTGTGACAGCTCAAACTAAGTAAATTAAATAGGGGCTGTATTTGCAGCGCAGTGTCCATATATGCACTGGGGGAATAAATAGCATATTTTGAAACTCCTGTGTTTCAAAAATGTAGAGAAAAATTGTTTTTCTGTAACATGGGCCCTTTAACACATTGATTCATTTCATCAGCCAAGTGAGAATTCATGAGCTAAATGCGCTAAAACAGGCAGAATTGTGGTCCTCCAGGGAGTTTAGTGCTCCTGCCTCATACAGTATTAAAGGCACCAGTTAGACATCAGGCACTTCATGCTCTTGAAGCTAATTATTTGCATGTAATGAGGGCATTCATTAGTGAGCTGAAAATCTAAGACTGCCACCAAGTCCTCATTCTTTACCTACATCTAAACAAACATGACAAAGTGCCCTGCATTGAGGGAAATATGGCTAAGAAGATACAGCCATATCTACTGTCTAACTAGTGAACACACACCACTTGCCCGGGGCGGTGAGAAGCCCTATCCATAGCGCTGGGGGAGCAGTTGGGGGTTAGGTGCCTTGATCAAGGGCACTTCAGTCACGTACTGTCGGCTCAGGGGATCAAACCGGCGGCCTTCCGGTCACAGGGCTGGTTCCCTGACCTCCACTGTACCATAATCCATTGAAATGATATTTTCAAAGTTGTGTTGACTCCACAAACCCCATCTCGTCTCCAGGCTTCTTTTTTATTGTTCTGTTTTAAAACATTAGGTTACAAAAATGAACAATTACGAACTTGTCCACTTGGAAAAACATATTAAAGGTTCACAGTTGGACCTTAAATCCACTGTTGTACCATTGAGGTTACATTTAAATTGTTTGTACCTTGATGAATGTAGAATGTACTCGCACAGAACCTTTATTTCTAACCTTGTAGTTACTAAATAATAAGCCTTAGGACGTAATAAGCTTAGGATTTTAAAGGGAAACTGTTTTTCTAAATTTTTGCACATTTTAAATCATTAAGATGTGAACAGATTCAGAGTGGTTTGTTGTGAAATGTCCCGTTCTAGAGAAACGTACAGAGTCAAAATTGTTCACAGTGGTGGTGATAGGAACCAGACATCTGAAAAGTTGTCTCCAAAAACTCCCTCACAGAAAGCTTTTACATAAATATGCTGCCTGATTCCAAAGACATTGTTTCACGATAATTTTGAGAAGCTTCTGTCCTGAAACATATTTTAATATCTTTTCACAGCAAAGAGGTACATGCAGGATGTTGTAAGGCAATAGTGCCCAAAAGACACCTTTGTTTCAGATTTACAACTATTTTACTATCACCAACCCATAAAACTCAAAGAGTCTGGTCATTCTGGACAGTAAAAAAAGGCTATATTTTATTTATACCCCAGTTCCTATCACCAACATTGTTTCCTAATGGGATAAAGAATTTTTGCATATTGTCACTGTCTAAAGGAAAATGGTTTACAGGAGAATGCAAAAACATTCTTTATTTTCAATGCTAGTCAACGTCAAGAGATTTTATTCCAAGCCATTCTGGAGCATTTCTATCAGTCCAGTCATTATGAAACTTTCACACAATGTAAGGGACACCTGCCGTGTTCAAACGATGTGGAAAAGTGAAAGTCGAGATACATGTTTTCCTATGGACAGCAATGATATGTCAATAACGGGAATAAATACGCCTTCTCAGCGTTTCCTCCATCACCAGTGGAATCAATGCAGAGCAGCTAGCATCCATTACTGAACTGACCTGAAAAAGGCAGATGGCTTCATCACTGTGTGAGGAGAGCTATTTTTATACCAGATCCACACACTCAGCTTAGATGCAGAACCACAATGTGAGGAGGGATATGCTTACCACCTCAAATGATGCAGCTCCTATTTGGGACATAGACGAGAAAGCTGCCTAATCTAATAGTAACCACAGGGGGAATTGATAGAAACATGATTCTGTGAGGCATTAGGGAAGCAAATGGGATATTTTCAGGGATGTACACCGATTATGATCACCTCCTTGTTTCTACGCTCATTGTCCATTTTATCAGCTCCACTTACTATATAGGTGCACTTTGTAGTTCTACAGTTACAGACTGTAGTCCATCTGTTTCTCTGATACTTTGTTAGCCCCCTTTTACCCTGTTCTTCAGTGGACAGGACCCCATGGACCCTCACAGAGCAGGTACTATTTGGGTGGTGGATCATTCTCAGCACTGCAGTAACACTGATGTGGGGGCGAGGTGTTAGTTTGTGTTGCGCTGGTCTGAGTGGATCAGACACAGCAGTGCTGCTGGAGTTTTTAAACACCTCAGTGTCACTGCTGGACTGAGAATAGTCCACCAACCAAAAATATCCAGTCAACAGCGTCCTGTGACCACTGATGAAGGACTAGAGGATTACCAACACAAACTGTGCAGCAGCAGATGAGCTATCGTCTCTGACTTTACATCTACAAGGTGGACTGACAAGGTAGGAGTGTGTAATAGAGTGGACAGTGAGTGGACACAGTGTTTATAAACTCCAGCAGCACTGTTGTGTCTGATCCACTCAGACCAGCACAACACACACTAACACACCACCACCACGTCAGTGTTATTGCAGTGCTGAGAATGCTCCACCACCCAAATAGTACCTGCTCTGTGAGGGTCCATGGGGGTCCTGACCACTGAAGAACAGGGTAAAAGGGGGCTAACAAAGTATGCAGAGAAACAGATGGACTACAGTCTTTAACTGTAGAACTACAAAGTGCACCTAGTGCACATAGTACCAAAAAAGGCCCAAACACCCACACACAAGACAAAAGAAAGCACACTGATAGAACAAGAAGAGACCTCAGACTAGGGCTGAAAGATTAAGCATTTTTATACTGAAGACAAAATTTGAAAGAGTGCAATTTTAAAACCACAAGAGCTTTAATTATTAACAACATCATAAATTTTAAGTGGGGAAATTAATAGCATGAAGCTTGTGAACTGCTTGTAGATGAGTTACACTAATCTAAAGCAACCAAGCACCCAACATAATCACAACTAACTGGCAGCAACTGGGAGAAATCGAGCTTCGAGCAAGAAAAAGTGGATATCGCTGCTGTTGAAAACCTTGTATCTCTATTTTTGTCGTTTTTCTGTTACCCTTTACAGTGTGTGTAAATTTCATGAAGAATGGACCAAAACAGCCCAAAATGACTTGGAAAAACGTCTGGTTCCATTGACTTACATTAAAACTAAAGTAGATTTTTTCCTTCTCCTGCAAAGTTATCATTTTGGAGATACAAGGTTTTCTTCCGACAACAGCGATACGCTGGTCTTCTTGGACAAAATAACAGGACTGGAGCCTATTTCATAGAAAATGATTGCAATTTAAACCGCAGTCACAGTATTAGTCTGAAAAATCCCAATTAGATGTTTTTGTCAAAAACTGTTCAGCCCTATCTCTGACTAAAGTCTGACTGTTGAGCCATTTAAATGACTAAATTTAATATTAACACATTGTATCCCAGCGCCCGCGACCCACAAGGATAAGCAGCTTACAAAATGTGTGTGTGTGTATCCCAGCGTGAAAACATAAATTAGTACTAAGATATATATATATATATATATATATGTATATGTATGTGATGTGACCTGAATTAAAAGTGAATGGGTTTGAATTTTGATGGACTATTTTGCCAAAAATTGTCCCACATTACCTACATTCACCATAACATTTAGGCTAAATGTCTCTATGTCATCTAAAATAGTGTCCCTCCTGAAGAACAACTTTACAGTACTTTTCCCTTCCAACCCAAATCACACATTCCTGATTTAGCTATGCAAGTACTTCCAAAGTCAATTGTTTTTGAGTTGGATCATGTGTAGTGGATAAGAGCTGAAGGTAAACTCTGCAGGAAGGAATGTCCAAAAGTATCCAGACACCCGATGTAATTAGAGAATTAATCTACTTTAATGTGCTTTAATGTTCACCTGTTAGTGACATAGATGTTCAACTGTGTACATACAATTTTTTACTGAGCAATAGAATCTGGGAGCCTCAGACGAGTCTAAGGTCACCGTGCCCACTGCCAAGTGCTGGCTATTCTCCAATGAACACAGTTCCACTGCTCCACAGTCCAATACTGGGCTAAGGGACAATGGAACTGCATTCTCTGGAGTGATGGGACTCTATCCAGTACTTTTGGGATGAGTTGGAGCGATCCAGAACTGATTATCCAACATCAGTACCTGACCTCACTAATGCTCTTGTGGCTGTATGCAATCAGATCCTCACAGCAATGTTGCACAGAAATGCTGCAAGGTGTCTATAAACTTTTGGATAGATAGTGCAGATATCTAGGAGCAGGGTGAATATGTTGTGGAAGGAAGTGCTGATGATGGTTAGGTGGACCTGATAACTACACTCTTAATAAAGATGGTTCTTCAAGGGTTCTTTAGTAAAGGTAATGGTTCTATAAAGAACCATGAGTTCTATATAGAACCATTTCATGCTTAAATGTTTTTTGCATGGTGAAATGCAGTAGCAGAACCCATTTAGGCGCCATATAGAACCATTTTCAAAGAGGTTCTATATTGAAGCATATACAACACATTCTCCATCAACCCGAAGAACCATTTCACCATGCAAAGAACTACTGAAGCATGAAACGGTTCTATATTAAACTCGTGGTTCTAAATAGAACCATTCCCTTTACTAAAGAACCCTTGAAGAACCATCTTATTTCAAAGTGTAGCACTACTATGCGTCCCGTTAGTTACCCAGCACTGTGACGCTCCTCACGTCGCCTCTCTCCAGCATGTGGGAGTCCAAAACCCGGTACCATCCGTTGGGGTAGACCGGAGGAAGCTCTCCGGTCTTCCGTCGCCGCCTCACCTCGTTTGCCGCCCGGGCTCTGGAGCGACCGTCCTCGGCCACGTAGCCCACGTCCTCCGGGCTCCGCAGCAGCTCCAGTGGGGCGAAGAACAGACGGTACAGCCAGCCGGCTGCCAGGAGGAGCACCCCGGCCACGAGGCACGCCGCAGCCCGCGCTGGAGCTCCGGCCAGCCCGGTCTTTCTCCATAGCTCTGGGTATCCGAAGTCCCACGGGTCAAACACAAGGAGGAGGGCGGCGGCCAGGACGAGGACAGCCACCGAGAGCAGCTTCCAGAGCAGTGAGTTGCCAGAAAGATCCATTGGTTGTTTTTAGGCTTGTTAGCAATGCGCAGCTCAGACCAGGCGACTCGGACGGTCACGGTCACCAAAGCAGCTCACCATCTTCCTGCCGCTGTTTATAAACCAGGCTGTTTGCGTACGTGCGTCTCCAAAGGCTGCATCGGAGATGCCTTCGTGGGAGGTAAACCTCTCCAACAGCATCCATCTGCGACCTGCAAGACCTGCAGGACACGCCCACTATTCAGCACGCCTGCTCCACAAACATCAACAGTCCTTCAGTCATGTATTGTCTCACCTTTTATTAACCCTCCTATTATCTTTATGGTCAGTTTGATTCCATTCAGTGTTTAACGTCTCTAAATAAATGATTGACCTCGTTGTTTTGCAAAGAAACAAAGTAACTGACCCAAACTTGGGTAATGATTTTAATTATATTCATTTTCTTGAGGTTTATATTGCTGGGGTCAAACTGACCACAAGGATGAAGACGTTAGTGGGTCATTCTGCATTTGGAGTGGAAATTCAGTTGGATACATTATTAAAAAAAATCATCCCAAATTCATCCCAAAACGAAATAATCTTAATATGTCTGTTAACATCTCCTATCATCATACACCAATGGAGTTTTTAAACACCTCAGTGTCACTGCTGGACTGAGAATCGTCCACCAACCAAAAATATCCAGCCAACAGTGTCCTGTAGGCAGCGTCCTGTGACCACTGATGAAGGTCTAGAGGATGACCAACACAAACTCTGCAGTAGCAGATGACTTTACATCTACAAGGTGGACTGACAAGGTAGGAATGTCTAATAGAGTGGACAGTGAGTGGACACAGTGTTTAAAAACTCCAGCAGCTCTAGTCTTTCATCAGTGGTCACAGGACGCTGTTGGCTGGATATTTTTGGTTGGTGGACTATTCTCAGTCCAGCAGTGACACTGAGGTGTTTAAAAACTCCAGCAGCACTGCTGTGTCTGATCCATTCAGACCAGCGCAACACACACTAACACACCACCACCACGTCAGTTACTGCAGTGCTGAGAATGATCCACCACCTAAATAGTACCTGCTCTGTGAGGGTCCATGGGGGTCCTGACCACTGAAGAACAGGGTAAAAGGGGGCTAACAAAGTATGCAGAGAAACAGATGGACTACAGTCTGTAACTGTAGAGCTACAAAGTGCACCTATATAGTAAGTGGAGCTGATAAAATGGACAATGAGTGTAGAAACAAGGAGGTGGTCATAATTTTATGCCTGATCGGTGTATGTGCAAAAAGGAGAGCTTAATTCCAAACATATGTTACAGTCACTGGTGTTGTATGAATATGGTGTAACACCAGTGACTGTGACTCCAGTGATATTCTGGTTAAAACTGAGGATTTTGTAAATCAGCTGACTCGTTGGCCGTCAGGTGAGCTTGTGCAACTATTTAAAATAAGTAATAAAAATGATATTTGGCATTATTTTGACAAAATTTTAATTACCCAGCCGTTAAAGCACAAAACACCAGTGACATATAGAAGTTATGAGCTGCCTGATAAACAAAATTATGAATAAATTAATGAAATATAGTGAGCGAGCCTGGACCCACCTTCTCATGCCTTGAGACGCTTCCTCTCTGATGAGCCTCAACCTAAGGAAGCAGTTTAATAGAGCTGAAAATGCTGTGTTAAAATGTAAAATAAGAGTCCTGAGAACAACAGTGACCAAAATCTCTGTGACAAATGAATTTTTTAAATAAAATACACATTTTTTAAATGTGGTCTAACTTTAATGATATGAAAAGTAAACATGAATCTGTTTTATACAGATTCCTGAGTTAAACCTCTTAAAATATTGTTTTATATTAAATCATGTTGAAAATTGGTTTTGTGATGAGCTGTTTTACAAATGCAGAGCGACTATGAAACAGGATAAAAAAGAAAAATCAGAGAAGTCATAAGGCAAAAGTGTTATTTAATCTTAGGTCAACTGTGTAAATGTACAAACTGACTTTTGGAGCTGTGCCTAATATTTTAAGCCCTGCAACCTTTGTGACATGGTTTCCCCCTCCGAACAGAGAATGACCCTAGTACATTTGAAGATAACCAGGCTCCCTCATTTACCTTCAGCTGTTCCGAGCGTAACTGTCTTTTTCAGTGTTTTGGTTCTTCTAATAACATGTCCAAAATAAGAGCTTCAGTTCGGCTTTGAGTGAGAGGAGAGGCCTGATCTGGACAGTCAATCAATTTGTTGGTTCTCTTTGCTGTCCAAGGTGCTTTCAAAAGTCTTCCCCAGCACGTAAGTGCAAAGGTATCAGTATTTTTCCTGTGCAGCTTTTTTATTGTTCAGCTTTCACATCATTGGTGCAAAGTGGGATTTGTGGGATGGATGTTGAAAAACATACACAGCTGAGTTGCAAAAGAGCTGTCTGCCATCAATTAATAAATAGCTGCCGATTACAGAGTAAAACTCTGATTAAACCCAGAGATTGCTGATTGATAGATTGCTGTTTCATTAATTTATAGTCAACAAAAACAAAAAGAAGGAAGCGCCAATCTGTCCTGGGACTGTTTTCATCACTTCTTTACTTTACTATGATATTTTGTTAACTCATGCCATAACGGTTATCAATAGATGTATTATTGTGATATTTATTACTATTTGGGTATTTTGCAAAAATATTTAGAACAACATGCAGATCAGATGAATAAGTTTAGAGAAAAAATGCCATTATTGTAGGTAACAAGTGAGAGAATGCAGTCGAACTGTGTTACCATTATCTTTGGGATGAGCTGGAGTGATCCAGAGCTGATCATGGGCTGCACTCATTAATGACACAGATGTCCAATAGAATGAGACACACTGAGGTCACCATATCTAATGGCAAGCGTGGGCTAGAGGGGTATAAAGCCCCCCAGCATTGGGCTGTGGAGCAGTGGAACTGTGTTCTCTGGAGTGATGGAGCTCCATCCAGTACCTTTGGGATGAGTTGGAGTGATCCAGAACTGACCATCCAACATCAGTACCTGACCTCACTAATGCTCAATCAAATCCTCACAGCAATGTTCCAACATCTAGTGTAAGGCCTTCCCAGAAGAGTAGAAGCTGTTACTGCAGCAAAGTGGGGACCAAATCACTATTAATACTGTTCATTTCAGAAGGAATGCTGGATGAACAGGCATCTACAAACTTTTGGACATATAGCACAACGCATTTGAATTAAACTGACTCACAGCATAAATGTTTATTCAAAAGAAATATTAAAAATGAATTATTTTCAGATATTTTATTATGGAGTTTGCCTGTTCTCCCCGTGTCTGCGTGGGTTTCCTCCGGGTACTCCGGTTTCCTCCCACAGTCCAAAAACATGCAGTCAGGCTGATTGGACGTGCTAAAATTGCCCCTCGGTGTGAGTGAGTGTGTGAATGTGTATGTCTGTCTGTCTGCCCTGCGATGGACTGGCGACCTGTCCAGGGTGTATCCTGCCTTCCGCCCAATGACAGCTGGGATAGGCTCCAGCACCCCACCGCGACCCAGAAGGATAAGCGGTTTAGATGATGTATGTATGTATGTATGTATGTATGTATTTTATTATGTATTTTTATGAGTATTATGCAGTGCCCCTATTAACCCTCCTTGCTCTCTGGACAAACAGTATAGGAACCATATCTATGTTCGACAGTAAAAGGACCTGTCCAGGGTGTTTCCTGCCCTCCGCCCAGTGACTGCTAGGATAGGCTCCAGGATAAGCAGCTTAGATAATGTGTGTGTGCTCGCCTTCAATCATAGTTCGATGATATGCGAACTGTAGGTCGTAGTGACAGTTGTCAAGTGTCTTGCAGTGAGAGGGTCCTGCGATGTGTTTTCCAGGCCTAGAGCACCACAAACCTGTTTTTACAAGCGGTTTTATTACCATGTGCATATGTCAACGAAGACGTCTTTGTTATCATGCATTTTATTACCTGAAGAGAAAAAGGATAAGCGTTCGCAGTGCAGTGATCCATTGTAGTAATACAGTTGCAGGAAGTCTCGTCTGCTGACACTCAGCAGGCCCTTGTTATGAGCAGTGGTCTCAGATGTGGTGAATTTCTTGCTGTTATGGTAGTTTTTAGTCATTTCTAAAGTGTTAGAGTCTGCTGCTCTCATGCTTTCATGAAAGAATAAGATTCTACTGAAAAGGATTATTTTTGTCAACTTGGTGTTGTCAGTAGCCACAGTTGGGCCATTGAGCACAGCAGTCTGGTAAGGCCTCTGTGATTTGTAGAAGGGTGGAGACCCCTGGGATGGAATATTCCAGCACTAAGTGGCTTTTGAGGCTTGATGCTTAATCTGTAAATGCAGTTTGTGTACAGTGTGTGGCTACTGAGTGTGTAATGTCACTAATGGACGTGTTTATGTACGTGTCTAAGATGACTAATCAACCTACACACGTTTTTATATGTACACTGTTAGAAATAAGGGTGCTGTGCAGGTACATTTCTCGATCATCACGGTACAAACAAGTACCCCCACAGGTAAACACTGGTTTTAAGGTCTAATTGTGTACCTTAAATAAAATGTGTCTGGTGGAAAAGGACATATTTGTATTGTTTCATTACCGAATGTTTTGAAACAGAACAATGAAATAAAAGTCCTGGAGACGAGACGGGGTGTGTGGAGTCAGTACAGCTTAGAAAATATCATTTCAGTGGATTATGATTCAGTTATGTTCTCTGACTAAAGGTATTCAGATGTACCCTTGAGGTAACCACCCCAGTGACAAGAGGGGTCCTGCCCCGGTGACAGTTTCGTATCTTTTTTTCTGAGAGTGTCATGTTGATAATGGTAAAATACCATATATAGCCATTTTATTTACTATCCAAAACCTGAACCTGTAAACCTACATGTCTTGGTTTTGTATTTTTCATTGATGATGGTAAAATAGTAAACATATGTTTCGATCTATAACCATATCTGAAAAATATCATAAAACGATGTCTCAATCATCAGGCAGCTTATTTGTAACCATTTTATGTTGCAAACTTTCTGACGTAGCTTTGAGAGGCATTAGTCTCTTCAGACGTCTGGTTCCTATCACCGTTACTGGGAACAACTGTAACTGGGTGTGTTTTCTAGAACAGAGCATTGCACACCAAACCACTCTGAATGACGTTGTTTACCTCTTAACCATTTAATTATGCAGATATTTTGAAAATTCAGTGGAATTCTCCTTTAAAAGACATGGTTTCTGGTAAAATGGCTTCTTGTGGTGAGGGTATTACAGCGCTAATGTGAAATATGGATGTGCATATACATATGTATATATATATATATATATATATATATATATATATATATATATATATATATATATATATATATACAACATACATACTATACATACTAATGAGGGGAAATTTTATGTAATTTGTTGTTAGGATTACAGTAAAAAGGCAGGTGCTTTATTGTCAACTTCATAGTAAATGGAAGCAACTTAGGAAAAGAGTATTAAACACTTTGGTGCAGAGGTTCTCAGCCAGTTCACATTTTTATTCATTCCAGCTCCAAACACAACAGATCCAGGTAATCAAGCACTGCATAAATGTGATTCCATGGTGCAGGTGTGTTAGTAAATCAAGCAAAACAAAGATGAATACTAGCCAGAGGTGCCAAAGACTAGTTTGAAGACGCTGACTTTGATGGACAGATGAACTGTTTTATTGTCTGACAAGTAATTTGATGCAGTAATCACAGCAGAATGCGCAGCCTGTGTTACAGTGTATACAGTGTATGGCAGCTACTAATTAACTGGGGATGGAGCTGTGAAGGGTTTAGTTGACATTAGGGAAGCTGGCGAAGGTGCTGGTCCAGAAGTAGACGAAGCGAGTCCTCAATTTCTGCTTGGCAGAGTCCTTGCCCATGCTGTGGTAAAATGAATGAAATAACAGCATGATTGCAAATTACAGAGAAAAAGGATGCACTAGGCCAGGGGTCAGCAGCATGAGGCTCCTGAGCCAATTGCAGCTCTTTTACTGTCCTGTTGTGGCTCCACAGCAGAATTAGATTTTTAGGTAAAAATAAAATAATCCTCCTTTGCAGTAAAATAAAGCTCTGCTGATTGTTAAACACAGTTTTAACACTAAATGGCCTTAAACACTGGAGTTAAAGTAGCCCATAACTGCTAATTTACCCTTTGACCCTGAAGACTGCAGACTGCTGGTTACAATAGCAATGCAGATAACAATCTCGCCTCGCTGGTAGTTTACGAAACAGCGAGAGAGACATTTAACAAGAATCTATGCTAATTTTTAGGCAACATTTCCTGTCGGAGATGTGAGAAAAGCGGCCGTAGCTGAGCTAAAGATTAAAGCAGCGCAAAGCAAGTCTGCGTTTTCATCTATATTATATTTTTATCCTATACTAGTACATTAACTCATACTGAGACATATTTACAGCCAAGATGGTAAAATGGACATAAAATGTTGAGGCTCCCAAGGTGGTTTGATTTTTGTTGACAGGACAAAATCGCTTTTCTTAACATTCGGGTTGCCGACCTCTGCACTAGGCATATGCAAGACACATTAAATGAGTTTCAAAACATATATAGAACTATTTTCTTTACTAAAGAACCCTTGAAGCACTATCTTTTTTAAGTGTAGTGTTTTCTTTGGGGACTATTTTGCCATACAACACCCTGCATGTACCCCTCCACCATAAATGTTTACAGTCAAAACCTTATCTCAAAACTATCATAAAACAACGTCTCAAGCATCAGGCAGCATGTCTGTAACCTTTTCAAGTAAGAATTTGTTGTGAGGGCGGTTTTAGAAGCATTAAACTCTTCAGACGTTTGGTTCACATAGTCATATCTGTCACTCCTGTCACTTATCATGTATAGGCTGGGCCTAATCTTGGCATCAGTTCAGCTATAAAACTACGGCTAGCTCCCTGGTTTGTGATGGGGTTTGAATTCGTCATGTGGCACTGTTATCCGGATTGGTCTTCTCATCTCTATGCTGTAGCTGAGTGGTCCATTTCAAAGCAGACCCTAAACCAGTAGCCTCCTCATGTTGACGGAATGGAGAGGATGACGGTAGAGTGTGTTTAGGCCTGTATTATGGCCGGTTGTCCGTAACCCCATGGCTGGAGAAAAGTCTACCACACAGAGGGGTGGTAGGGAGGCATCAGAGTGGATGAACAGTTATGTAAACATATCGACTCATCTGATTTGGACAAATGCTATCAAAAAAAAATTGCCTGTTCATCCAGATAAAATATCGTCCTTAGATGAGAGGCTACACATGTCATTCTGGCAAAAAAGTAGTGAGCAAACTCAAAGAGCATGTCATAATGCATGCTGCCTCCAAGGCAAAAAAGGCCTGCGGCAGTATAAATGTGACAAGTTCAGGGTCGAGTTTCAGATACAACTGAAGCTGTGTTCAGAAGCCCAAAGTAGCACTGACCCCTGCCCTGTACTGGCGTCTGTGCAAGTTTTTACGATTGTCCTGTGTTGTCATGGTGACATTAAGTGTCTTTAATCAGCTCATGGGGCAAGTTCTCATGGTTCTGTTTTTTATGACAGAATTGTCACAGTGCAGAACAGTCACAGTGCAGTATGAAGAAATAGTTACCAGAAGATTGCCAGATCATTATTCTGCACAACAGGCAGAACTAGTAGCAGAAACTTGTGCCTGTGTTCTTACTAAAGATTTTAAAAGCGAATGTCTTGTCACGGCAAATGCCACAATTATGATTATGAAAGCAGCTTGATTATGAAAGCTGCAGACATCACTGTTATGTCTCATAGTCTGTTGCAATACTGCCAGACTTTATCTGAAGCTGTTGCAGCCACTCAGAAACAGGTGTTGGATGCATGGAAAGAACCTACTAAAAGAGGGGTCACCCTATTGCCTTATTTGCATCAGGACAGTAAGTGATGATTAAAATGCATAACACTCAGCCATTAGGGCCAAAATAGGAAGGTCCATATCAAGTCTTCCTTACCACATCCTCTGCTCTAAACTGTCAACGAAAACAAAGTGGATATATGTGAGCCATACCAAGGTGGTACCGCCACTGGATGGTGACGGCTAGCTCAGGGACAAAAAACCTCAGAGTGAAGATTCCCTAATTCCCTTTGCAGCTTGCACTTGATGACTCCCACCAGAGGCCAGGACCCATGTTGATAATGGTAAAATACTGGTAAATCTGAAAAAATGTATTTTCTTTGCACTTACCTTTCCATTTGGGCATCTGGTTCCTATCACCATATATATAGCATGTATAGCCATTTTATTCACTATCCAAAACTATCAGTGTACCTATGCATGTCTTCTAAAGGCTTCATATATAACGTTGATGATGATAAAATAGTAAAAAAATCTATAACCCTATCTGTAAAATGTCTCAATCACCAGGCAGCTTATTTTTAACCATTTTATGTTGCAAACTTTCTGACGCAGCTTTGAGAGGCATTAGTCTCTTCAGACGTCTGGTTCCTATCACCGTTACTGGGAACAACTGTAACTGGGTGTGTTTTCTAGAACAGAGCATTGCACACCAAACCACTCTGAATGACGTTGTTTACCTCTTAACCATTTAATTATGCAGATATTTTGAAAATTCAGTGGAATTCTCCTTTAAAAGACATGGTTTCTGGTAAAATGGCTTCTTGTGGTGAGGGTATTACAGCGCTAATGTGAAATATGGATGTGCATATACATATGTATATATATATATATATATATATATATATATATATATATATATATATATATATATATATATATACAACATACATACTATACATACTAATGAGGGGAAATTTTATGTAATTTGTTGTTAGGATTACAGTAAAAAGGCAGGTGCTTTATTGTCAACTTCATAGTAAATGGAAGCAACTTAGGAAAAGAGTATTAAACACTTTGGTGCAGAGGTTCTCAGCCAGTTCACATTTTTATTCATTCCAGCTCCAAACACAACAGATCCAGGTAATCAAGCACTGCATAAATGTGATTCCATGGTGCAGGTGTGTTAGTAAATCAAGCAAAACAAAGATGAATACTAGCCAGAGGTGCCAAAGACTAGTTTGAAGACGCTGACTTTGATGGACAGATGAACTGTTTTATTGTCTGACAAGTAATTTGATGCAGTAATCACAGCAGAATGCGCAGCCTGTGTTACAGTGTATACAGTGTATGGCAGCTACTAATTAACTGGGGATGGAGCTGTGAAGGGTTTAGTTGACATTAGGGAAGCTGGCGAAGGTGCTGGTCCAGAAGTAGACGAAGCGAGTCCTCAATTTCTGCTTGGCAGAGTCCTTGCCCATGCTGTGGTAAAATGAATGAAATAACAGCATGATTGCAAATTACAGAGAAAAAGGATGCACTAGGCCAGGGGTCAGCAGCATGAGGCTCCTGAGCCAATTGCAGCTCTTTTACTGTCCTGTTGTGGCTCCACAGCAGAATTAGATTTTTAGGTAAAAATAAAATAATCCTCCTTTGCAGTAAAATAAAGCTCTGCTGATTGTTAAACACAGTTTTAACACTAAATGGCCTTAAACACTGGAGTTAAAGTAGCCCATAACTGCTAATTTACCCTTTGACCCTGAAGACTGCAGACTGCTGGTTACAATAGCAATGCAGATAACAATCTCGCCTCGCTGGTAGTTTACGAAACAGCGAGAGAGACATTTAACAAGAATCTATGCTAATTTTTAGGCAACATTTCCTGTCGGAGATGTGAGAAAAGCGGCCGTAGCTGAGCTAAAGATTAAAGCAGCGCAAAGCAAGTCTGCGTTTTCATCTATATTATATTTTTATCCTATACTAGTACATTAACTCATACTGAGACATATTTACAGCCAAGATGGTAAAATGGACATAAAATGTTGAGGCTCCCAAGGTGGTTTGATTTTTGTTGACAGGACAAAATCGCTTTTCTTAACATTCGGGTTGCCGACCTCTGCACTAGGCATATGCAAGACACATTAAATGAGTTTCAAAACATATATAGAACTATTTTCTTTACTAAAGAACCCTTGAAGCACTATCTTTTTTAAGTGTAGTGTTTTCTTTGGGGACTATTTTGCCATACAACACCCTGCATGTACCCCTCCACCATAAATGTTTACAGTCAAAACCTTATCTCAAAACTATCATAAAACAACGTCTCAAGCATCAGGCAGCATGTCTGTAACCTTTTCAAGTAAGAATTTGTTGTGAGGGCGGTTTTAGAAGCATTAAACTCTTCAGACGTTTGGTTCACATAGTCATATCTGTCACTCCTGTCACTTATCATGTATAGGCTGGGCCTAATCTTGGCATCAGTTCAGCTATAAAACTACGGCTAGCTCCCTGGTTTGTGATGGGGTTTGAATTCGTCATGTGGCACTGTTATCCGGATTGGTCTTCTCATCTCTATGCTGTAGCTGAGTGGTCCATTTCAAAGCAGACCCTAAACCAGTAGCCTCCTCATGTTGACGGAATGGAGAGGATGACGGTAGAGTGTGTTTAGGCCTGTATTATGGCCGGTTGTCCGTAACCCCATGGCTGGAGAAAAGTCTACCACACAGAGGGGTGGTAGGGAGGCATCAGAGTGGATGAACAGTTATGTAAACATATCGACTCATCTGATTTGGACAAATGCTATCAAAAAAAAATTGCCTGTTCATCCAGATAAAATATCGTCCTTAGATGAGAGGCTACACATGTCATTCTGGCAAAAAAGTAGTGAGCAAACTCAAAGAGCATGTCATAATGCATGCTGCCTCCAAGGCAAAAAAGGCCTGCGGCAGTATAAATGTGACAAGTTCAGGGTCGAGTTTCAGATACAACTGAAGCTGTGTTCAGAAGCCCAAAGTAGCACTGACCCCTGCCCTGTACTGGCGTCTGTGCAAGTTTTTACGATTGTCCTGTGTTGTCATGGTGACATTAAGTGTCTTTAATCAGCTCATGGGGCAAGTTCTCATGGTTCTGTTTTTTATGACAGAATTGTCACAGTGCAGAACAGTCACAGTGCAGTATGAAGAAATAGTTACCAGAAGATTGCCAGATCATTATTCTGCACAACAGGCAGAACTAGTAGCAGAAACTTGTGCCTGTGTTCTTACTAAAGATTTTAAAAGCGAATGTCTTGTCACGGCAAATGCCACAATTATGATTATGAAAGCAGCTTGATTATGAAAGCTGCAGACATCACTGTTATGTCTCATAGTCTGTTGCAATACTGCCAGACTTTATCTGAAGCTGTTGCAGCCACTCAGAAACAGGTGTTGGATGCATGGAAAGAACCTACTAAAAGAGGGGTCACCCTATTGCCTTATTTGCATCAGGACAGTAAGTGATGATTAAAATGCATAACACTCAGCCATTAGGGCCAAAATAGGAAGGTCCATATCAAGTCTTCCTTACCACATCCTCTGCTCTAAACTGTCAACGAAAACAAAGTGGATATATGTGAGCCATACCAAGGTGGTACCGCCACTGGATGGTGACGGCTAGCTCAGGGACAAAAAACCTCAGAGTGAAGATTCCCTAATTCCCTTTGCAGCTTGCACTTGATGACTCCCACCAGAGGCCAGGACCCATGTTGATAATGGTAAAATACTGGTAAATCTGAAAAAATGTATTTTCTTTGCACTTACCTTTCCATTTGGGCATCTGGTTCCTATCACCATATATATAGCATGTATAGCCATTTTATTCACTATCCAAAACTATCAGTGTACCTATGCATGTCTTCTAAAGGCTTCATATATAACGTTGATGATGATAAAATAGTAAAAAAATCTATAACCCTATCTGTAAAATGTCTCAATCACCAGGCAGCTTATTTTTAACCATTTTATGTTGCAAACTTTCTGACGCAGCTTTGAGAGGCATTAGTCTCTTCAGACGTCTGGTTCCTATCACCGTTACTGGGAACAACTGTAACTGGGCGTGTTTTCTAGAACAGACCATTGCACACCAAACCATTCTGAATGACGTTGTTTACCTCTTTAATTATGCAGATATTTTGAAAATTCTGTGGAATTCTCCTTTAAAAGACATGGTTTCTGGTAAAATGGCTTCTAGTGGTGAGGGTATTACTGTGCTAATGTGAAGTATGGATGTGCATACATATATATATATACATACAACATACATACTATACATACTAATGAGGGGAAATTTTATGTAATTTGTTGTTAGGATTACAGTAAAAAGGCAGGTGCTTTATTGTCAACTTCATAGTAAATGGAAGCAACTTAGGAAAAGAGTATTAAACACTTTGGTGCAGAGGTTCTCAGCCAGTTCACATTTTTATTCATTCCAGCTCCAAACACAACAGATCCAGGTAATCAAGCACTGCATAAATGTGATTCCATGGTGCAGGTGTGTTAGTAAATCAAGCAAAACAAAGATGAATACTAGCCAGAGGTGCCAAAGACTAGTTTGAAGACACTGGCTTTGATGGGCACATGAATTGTTTTATTGTCTGACAAGTAATTTGATGCAGTAATCACAGCAGAATGCGCAGCCCGTGTTACAGTGTATACAGTGTATGGCAGCTACTAATTAACTGAGGATGGAGCTGTGAAGGGTTTAGTTGACATTAGGGAAGCTGGCGAAGGTGCTGGTCCAGAAGTAGACGAAGCGAGTCCTCAATTTCTGCTTGACAGAGTCCTTGCCCATGCTGTGGTTGATGTCCACAAACTGGTGGCCTTCTTCAGTGAACCTGGGCCAGGCTACGGGCACGTCAGACTCTCCTGTGTTGGGGTCACTGAAGCAAGACAGTGCAGTTAAGAAAAATAAATCTGTAACTTTCAATATTTTGTATTTTTCAAAAAACTATTAATTTATTTATTTATATAGCAAAATTAAAAACTAAACTATTGCGGTTTAAATGAAAAGTAAAATGAATGAAATAACAGCATGATTGCAAATTACAGAGAAAAAAGACCCAATGCACTAGGCCAGGGGTCGGCAACATGAAGCTCCTGAGCCACATGCGGCTCTTTTACTGTCCTGTTGTGGCTCCACAGCAGAATCAGATTTGTAGGTAAAAATAAAATAATCCTCCTTTACAGTAAAATAAAGCTCTGCTGATCGTTCAACACAGTTAACACTAAAAGGTCTCAAACACTGGAGTTAATGTAGAACTGCTAATTCACCCTTAAACCCTCAAGGTTGGCGCGCAGACTGCTGATCACCATAGCAATGCAGACAACAATCTCTCTTAGTTAGCAGCTAACGAAACAGCAAAAAGAGAGAGATTTAAGATGAACATTGATAATCTGTGAGTCGAATGGACTTATTTGTATTTATAATCGCTCCAGCTGGTTTCCTGATACGTTTAATCTGCAACGAGAAACTGTCAAACACTAAAAAGTCAGCTTCTCATTCGCCAGCTTCATGTTCGAATTTTCTCGTTCCCCCTCAAAATGTGTAACAGCTACATTCTGATGCCTCAGGCACCATTTAAGGTGGAACGGGAAACTGAAGCTGGTGAATGAGAATTTGACTTCAGCCTAATAAAAAGTCAAACATTGAGAGACATTTTACAAGAATCTGTTCTACTTTTATGGAAAAGTTTCCTGCTGGAGATGTGAGAAAAGTGGCTATAGCTGAGCTATGATTCTATATAGAACCTTTTTGAAAAGGGTTCTATATAGCACCCAAAAGGGTTCTTCTATTGTTAGGATGTCAAGCTTGTAACAATAGAAGAACCCTTTTGGGTGCTATATGGAACCCTTTTCAAAAAGGTTCTATATAGAACCATTTACAGCACATTCATGCGCATTCTCCATCAATCTGAAGAAACTCTTCATGCAAAAAAAACTCTTTAGTCATGCAAAGGGTTCTTTGAATGTTCATGGTTCTATATAGAACCATCTACAGCACATTCTCTATCAAACAAAAGAGTCCTTTCATGCAAAGAACCCTTGAAGCACCGTCTTTTTTTAAGTGTAGTGTTTTCTTTGGGGACTATTTTGTCGTACAACACCCTGTATGTACCCCTCCACCATAAATGTTTAATTCAATTCAAAATCTTATCTCAAAACTATCATAAAGCAACATCTCAAGCGTCTCAGGCAGCATGTCTGTAATCTTTTTAAGTCATAACTTTCTGTACGGGAGCTTTTAGAAGTGTTAAACTCTTCAGACGTCTGGTTCCTATCACCACCACTGTGAACAATTCTGTGTACAATTCTTGTGCGTTTCATTAGAATGGAGCATTTCACACCAAACCACTCTGAATGACCCATTTAATTACCCAGAAACTTTAAAAATCTGTGAAATTTCCCTTTAAGGAGCTCTGTAAGAAAAGGTCCCTCTAACCATCAGTCAGTGATCAACTACATACGATACTATTGAATTCTCAGGTACTTCTTGACTGTTTCACATTACTACAAGTCTTACCCAGTCTTGGCGAAGTTGGTCCAGTAAGCGATCATGTATTTGGAGACTTTGCGGTGACGGGGGAAGTAGCCTAGAGGAGTAGCGAAGGGCTTTCCGAACACATACTGCAGGTCATCGGCATGGTCAGCCCCCACCCAGCTGGGATAGACAGGCATGCGGCTGGGCTCGGTGAATAGGTATGAGTAGGTACGAGCCGTGCTGATGGACAGCGAAGGGACAAAGTTAACGAGAGCAGAGTAATGCAAGAACAATCATCATCATCATCATCAGTCATCCTCATGAAGCTGACAGTGTTTTGTTTGTCTGTAAACTATTGTATGGCTGTTATAATGCTTTTATTTACACTACAGGCCAAATGTTTAGAAGCAACATTAATGACAGTAATGTGTTAATTAACCAATTAAATGACCAGGAGCCACTAGCCATTCCTCACTCCTATAGCATAAGAATAATTCCACTTATGTAGGTTTGCATTGTGGCCCATGTACTGAATAATGAGCCTTAAAGGGACTGTGTCATGGAAAAGTGAATTGTTTTTTAAACTAAAGGGATCAATGTAGTATATAAACATTGTTAAACACTGTTTCAAAAGCTCGTTCCCCAATCTGCACGGCCCATCTATGGAAATTAAGCTGCAGAAGCAGCCCATTTTAGATTCATTGTTTTTGTGATGTCACAGGATCGAGGCATTTACATGTATCCACCTATTCAGCCTACAGCAGTTAAGCTCCACCCATTCACTTTGAAGTTATAAGGAGTGGATCAGCCCAGACTGCTTTTTGAATGAGGCACAATCAGGGCAGCCAATCAGGACAGAGACCATTTACATAGATCAGTCTTACAGGCACAGTAACAGAGAAGGCCTGTTTAATTCTAAAGGATAAAGAAAAGTTGGAAAATGTAGAAATGAGTTATGACTGTTTTTGGTACATAAAACCACACGAATGTCATAAGTGGGCATCAGAGAAAACAATGAAATTTAAGAAAATATGTAGGAAATTGGCCTTTAAGGTCTAATAAACCAAAAATTTGAAGGGTGAACATAGAACAAAAGGGTTTATTCTTCAATATGTGCAGCAATGGTGTGTGCACACACACATTATCTAAGCTGCTTATCTTTCTGGGTTGCGGGAGGGCTGCTGGAGCCTATCCCAGCAGTCATTGGACAGAAGGCAGGAAACACCCTGGATAGAAAAACCCATGCAGACACTGGGAGAACATGCAAACTCCACACAGAAAGGACCCTGGTTGCCCAGTCGGGGAAGCAAACCGAGGTCCTTCTTGCTATGAGGCAACAGCGCTACCCATGTGCATCGTGTATGCAGTTATTATTAATTAGTTTAGCTTCTGCAGAGTTTTATTGCAGCTGTAATCAGATTCACTCACTTCTCCCAACAACAGGGCGAGAGTTTCTGATGATCTATAGATGATCTACAGATGAAAAACCCTTGACAAAGAATTCTGTATATCAGAGTATTGGGTATGATGAAACTCAAGTGTAGGATTCGGGTTTTGTTTAGAGGTAGTTTCAGGTTTAAGACTGCAGTCAAAGTTAGCATTAGGTTTAGGTTTTGTGTTACACTGAACAGAATCCATTACGTCTAACTAAAAGTTTCTGAAACATTCAGAGACTCAGTGCTTGCTCCCATGCGTTTGGCCTGTAGTGCATTTTGTGAAATACAGTGTACGCATTCACTCACTTGGCGTGTTTGGCGTGCAGGTACAGGGCCGTCTGAGTCGGCACCAGGAAGATGTAGTCAGTCTCAATGTCCACCACAGTTTTCTTGATGTCGTCTTTGGCAGGGTTGCTTCCCCAGTTAGCCGTGTACTGATCGAAGGCAGCAGCTGCAGCCTCTCGACCCTTCTCACTGGTTAAGGAGGTCAGGAGCTCCTTCACATCTTCCCTGTGAGAAAAGAAAGCAAATGAACAGACTGTAAGCCAGTGCAGCAGGTGCACACTGAGCACAACACCACAAATCTGCTAGTAGACACCTGCTCATCTGCTTTAATATGGAGTTTGTCCTCCTCTGCTGCAGTAACAGCCTCTACTCTTCTCTCAAGGCTTTACACTAGATGTTGGAACATTGCTGTGAGGATTTGATAGAGCATTAATGAGGTCAGGTACTGATGTTGGATGATCAGTTCTGGATCCCACCAGCTCATCCCAAAAGTATTGAATGGAGCTCCATCACTCCAGAGTACACAGTTCCCTCTAGCTGACGCTCTATATATATATATATATATATATATATATATATATATATATATATATATATACATATATATATATATATATATATATATTCTATAATTAAAAAAATGTGCACAGTTTAAATGTATTGGATGAATTAAAAATATTAAAAATAATTTAAACTAAAATATAAGACGTCCTATAACTTTTGCCCAGACCATATTTTACATTTTTTGTCCCCCAATGTGTTGAAATCATCAACAAAACAGTAATTATGCAAAACATGTGCAGTAGTGCGTCTCTGTAGAGGATGTGTTCACTTATTTACACTTAGAAAATCAACAAAACATGTAATTTGACCGAGGCGCCTGAACTTTTGCATACAACTGTCCTTTTAAATGCAAGTACAAAAATAAATAGAGGGCTTCTTCTTTTATTCAAGCAATAATTCACCAGTTATATCTCTACTTTCACTTAAAGCACATGATTTGTATACTTTCACCTCTAGACTCATAATAACTGTCTATTAGAGCAAACTCAACAATGTGAAACACCTTCTATGCTCACTTTGAAAGAAACAACAACAAACAAACAAAGCAGAAGGCTATCGCTGCCACCAGTGGCCTAGTGCTTTCACTGTCAGTGCATGGTGGGAGGAAAACTCTGACGGGAGTGGATCTGACAGCATCCTGGGCTGCATGCTCAAAGTATGTGTCAGTCGACTGACATCTTCAGCTTATCTTTGGCGAAGGCTGCTGTCACCACCTGCTGTGACCATCACTGTATTGCCACAGAAATCCACTACCACATTCCTGAATGACAACAGCCCTATTATAGTCACTCTCATCATATACAGGGCCCATATCTCACATTTAGTTTTTGTATTTCATTTATTTCCATGAGGTCCACTTATAACATTTGTGTGTTTGTATGCACCAAAAAGAGTCATGATTCATTTCTACATTTTTCAGCCTCTCTTTATTCCTTAGAATTAAACAGGCTGTTTTTATTACTGTGCCTTTAAGAGTGATATATGTGAATTACCTCTGTTGTGACTGCCTGTTGTATATTATGCCTTGTTCTAAAAGCAGTGCAGGGTGAAAAACGCTGTAACAAAATGAATGGATGGAGCTAAACTGCTGTTTTTTTTTGTGTGACATCACAAAATCAATAATTCAAAACAAACTGCTCCCCGGGCGCTGTGGATAGGGCCGCCCACCGCTCCGGGCAAGTGTGCTCACTGCCCCCTAGTGTGCACGGATGTGTCAAAATGCGGAGGTGAAATTTTCCCGCTGTGGGACTAAAAAGGGTCACTTAATCTTAATCTTAATCTTTTTTTGCAGCTTGGTTTATGGATCATACAGACTGGGGAGTTAATGGTACTTTTTAAAAAAAAAAAAAATTAAGTATGTTTACATACTACATTAAACCTTTATTTCAGAAATGTGAGGAAAATTGCAATATGGGCCCTTTAAGGTGTTTTAATATACTAATTCATGAGAACATTATATATATATATATATATATATATATATATATATATATATATATATATATATATATATATATATATATATAATATTAAATGTCTTTTGATCATGTTCTTTCATACATGGTCACGGGGGGATTGTTGGTTTGTGGTCAGTTTTAGAACTGCTTATTCTGTGTATCAGAATTTTCATTCTGCCTCTAAGGGCCTGATCCTTTTAGGTCATCTGCCTCTCTATCAAGGGTACACAACCTTGATACTTGTGGGGGAGATTGTTTGGGCCAGTTGAGGGTCAAAACACTCTGTAAAATTATTCTCTGCTCCTGCTTTCCTGTGGGAGAAGGAACCAACCGGTGGCTTGTGAATATCTCTGTATAAAGACATCTTGAAATTTCTCTGTATAAACTTGTCCAGTTTATTCTCAGTAACTTCTACAATGACCCCACAAGTCAACAATATTACTTGCAGAGTCTGCAAATCCAAATCTAAATGCTACGTGAAGTTATTGGTAGTATATTAGGGATGCACCTACCCACTGTACTTCTGCGGCATTCTTGTATATATTGTCTAGCTGCATGATGTCCTTCACCTCACAATACGTCAGTTTCTGTATCTATGAGTTTATTTGACCGTGGGCGGAACTTTTGAAACATTATAGAGCAATTGTCTCATATACATTTGATAAAAAGGCTCTTGTAGTTTTGTAAATTTTATGTCCAGTAGTATCCAGACATCCCTTCTACTTGATGAATTTAGCTACTTTAAGGTCCCATGGACCAGCAGACCTGAGTTCTCTGGAGTGATGGACAACATCAGTACCTGACCTCACTAATGCTCAGTCAAATCCTCACAGCAACGTTCCAACATCTATAAAGCCTTCCCAGAAGAGTAGAGGCTGTTACTGCAGCAAAGGAGGACAAACTCTGTTAACACCCTTTATTTTTTAAGAAGAAACGCTGGATCAGCAGGTGTCTTAAATGCATATAGTGTAAATGTAATTGTACTTAATATTTTAGTTCGGATATATTTTTTGTGTTGTCCTGCATCCAACATGCTGCTGTTTCATGTAACTTGTTAGTATTTCTTGTAGTTATTGCTCTGTGTCTGATATATTGTGTTGCACATGCTGAAAGTTTCCCCTCTTTCACTCTCAGATTAATGGAATGAGCATTTATTACTTTTGCCCAGGCCACATTTTATGTTTTTGTTTCCCCAGGTTGTTAAATTCAGTAAATAAACACTTGTGCATTAACATGTGCAGATGTGTTTTCTCTAAAATCAACAGAGCATATCATTTGACCAGGGGCGCTTAAACTTTTGCATGCGACTGTATAAGCAATAACAATAAAAATTATAAACTATACCTCATGTTTGTACTGTATATACGAAAATGACAATGAAAATAAATGCAACCAAATTGTGTTAAAGTGAATTTAGGTGAGCCTATAGTGGACAGGACAGCTGACCCTGCATCAGCATATCGTCGCTGCCCGAGAAGGATCCATTCATCACGAAACGTTCACACAATGTAAAGAACAGCTGTTGTGCTCGAATGATGTAGAAGAATAAAAATTGAAAGAAATTGAGATACATGTGGGTTTTTTTGGGGCGGTAGCAACAATTTATACACTGTAATACTGTTAACTATCATGACAAATATGTAGCATGACAAATACAAGTGTGGCAAAACCAGGTGGGAGGAGACTGTGGTTCTCTAAACCACTAAACTGCCTGTTGTGAGGCAGATCACAAAGGAATATTTCAGCATTTTTCAACCTGATCTCTACTGGAGGCATCTGTATTGACCAGCCAATTACCACAGATGATCATTTCAACCCAGTTCCCTGTACTTAGAAAGGGACAGAAAGGCCCAATCACATTTGACCCCCCACACATGCCACTTAGCCCATCTCCTCCTTTTTGTCCATTCACACTCAGGGGTGGGGTGTCCTAATTGTTGTTGAGATAGAGGGGCAGGGCGAAGTGTTAGAGCTGCATGGCCCTCCAAACGGAGGTTTTTCAGAGTGACACTCCAAACGGAGTGTTATCAGAAAAAAAAGAAAAACCGGCAAGATGGCTGAACAAGAGACCAAAGAAACCCACAAATGTGAGAATTTTCTCTGTTAAAAGTTACAATAACCAATGTTTTATCTTAGTTTAATGTTGTTTCAGTGTATTATGGTCCTTTTCTTCATAACAAGCCTAAAAAATCATTAGTAGTATGCTAGCTGTGTTAGCTAGCTGGCTAAATTTCCTCTTCCATCTTAAATGGTGCTTTCATAGTTGGCTACATTCTCGCGCCTCAGTCGTCACAACTGCTGCACCATTTAAGGTGGAACAGGGAAATTTGAACAAGAAGCTGGTGAATATCTGGCTTCAGCTTCATATCACTGAAGAATTAGGGGTGGGTGATAATAAATAATTGCCCCCCTCTTTGAAGGCGTATGATGCCCTAAATGTACCTGAAGCCCAGCAGTGAGGAGCTGAACTTTACCCTCCTCTGCTGTCACTGCAGACTGGCAGGGTCGCCTACAGAGCAGCGCTGATAGCTGTTAATGAAGTAATGCTCTTTTTATTTGAGGGTCCCATTTCAGAGGGTAGATTTCAACCACTACCCCTTGTAACTCAGTTCCAAGGGGTTAGGGTGACACTCGAAAACAAGGGGTAGGGGTAAAAATAAGAAATGGGACTGGGCCAAAAGCTGTAGACTCTAAACGCTCCTACAGTAATAAATGAGCTGGTGCCGAAGCAAATGCTGCTGTGTGGTGGTCTGATTTTCCAAATGGTGCTATGAAGACTAACGTTCTTGAATAGTGGTACTTACACAGGGGTGGAATGAAGGGGCTGGTTGACAGATGGAACATCAACGCCTGTGAATATGTGGCCATCCATGTCATTGATTCCAGCAAGATAGTCGATGTCAGCGGCGTTGCTGAAAAGGGTGCTGGGGTCATCGGGGAGGAAATCACCATCGATCACAGGGGACAGCGCCAAGTTCTTCACTATGGGGTCTAAAGGATGATTTCACACTCAGTGACATAACTGGCAACCTAAACACAGCCAGGGGTGCATTTTACAGGCATAAATGATGTTATATTTGGCTTTCATTTAAGGGTTTGATGGGATGTTCTGCTGTTTAAGAGTTACATGATTAACTGATGCCTTAATCTCATGAGTCCACTCTTCCATTCATACATAATGTATTAGTATCATGATAGCTACTGAATAATTTATAGCACAGTGAATAAGTCTTAAGATTAATAGTTGAATAATAAGCGTTGAGAGCTGCATGTCGGAATGATGAAATGGAGCTGCATGTAGTGGTAATCAGACATTTTAAGAAATTCTTTACAAAAATTCATTAAAAATCAATTACAAACTACTTGCTTTTCGTCTTTGTAACTACTATTGTTGATTCTGAGAAGTCCCAACTAGTCTGGAGGGTATTTTGGTGTACATACATGGCTTTAAATGGAACATTTGAGGGAAAAAAACAGAAAAATGTAATAGATTTTTGGATTTCCTAAAATGTACGAGTAAATTAACAACACTTTTAATAGCTGACAGTAGTCGGCCAATTACACGGTTATTGCTCAAGTTAAGATCAAGACACTTACTTGCTGGAGAGCCATCCAGGCTAATAGTGCCAGCAAGAGTGAGCTCGACCGCGTCAGTCATCTTCAGGCAGCTGAACATGGTCTGGTCAGTGGGACAGCCCACCCTCTGAGCAACCTGCAGCCAGAGAAAGGTACTAAGATCAGGGCACTCTGTCATCTAAACATATTTCTTCACCTTGTTTAAGGACATTTGGAAAGCTGTGGACGTAAACCGAAGATTGAGGCTGATTCCAGAGGATTTTTATACAGTACTGACAGTATTATCAGTGCGCCATGTGTTTGGAACATGAAGACAGCCGAGAAACTCCACAATCGATAATAAAAAAGGTGCTTTTTCGCTTTCTAACTTCTTCAAACTTTGGTGTCATTAGTTTGGAAATGTAGTCTACTCAGAGTAATTAATATTGTTTAGTGATTAGTGTGTTTATTGCTCCAAATTTCAGTCAGTGAGCTCCACTAATGGAGTTTTGTCGCTAGTTAATGGTAGCGTTCAGTGAATGCTTGAATGGAAAAGCAATTTTTAAGGTGTATAAGTGAAAATGCACCACAGACAGGCATATCAAGATGTGTTTTTTCCCAAAAAAAAAAAAACAAAAAAAACTTTTTAAAATTTCTTTAATAAGTGAAGGCTCAAAGTAAACAGCTCTGGGATATAGAAACAGTTTTGAGAAACAGTTTTACACACTAAATCTTTGTACAGCTACTTCATGTTAAAATTTAAGGTCAACATCACTTTTGTGGACTTTTCTGGAAGTTGCTTTCCTTTGTAAGGAAGATTATTGTGTTATATGTGGGCAAAGATAAGTAGTGTCTAGAGATGTCATGTGGGGAATCAGGGATGGGTTTGAATGTTTGAATAATCATAATCAGATTTCTGCAGTTGTCTGATTATTCAAATGGCCATATAAACAGCATACTCCGATTTCTTAGATCGAAGTAAGTTTAGAAATCTGATTAAGAAATCTGATAAAGAGAGCTGGATTTTAGCTCAGTAAATCTGATTATTCAAATGGTCATATAAACAGCATACTCCAGTTTCTTAGATCGAAGTAAGTTCTAGAAATCTGATTAAGAAATCTGATAAAGAGGCTGGATAAGCTCAGATTGGTAATCAGATTTCTCAGTGCATGTAAACTCTTACTCTGATTTCTTTCAGATTTCTCAGTCTGCACATGTGCAAAAAAGACTGCTGTACCAGAAATAAGCAAGCAGCGTCGCTGCGAGATGCAGCAAGACACTTTTGGAGCAACACTGAAACCAAATACATGGTTGACGAAATGAAGGATGTAAATATTCTTTATCTTCTAGATGATGCATGTTCATATTTTCAGGTAAAGTGGCGCGACTCATGTAGACCTGGAGTTTCCCCATTATCTGATTACCCAAGTGCATGTAAACGTGTTGATCGGATTACCGACAAAATCTGATTTTCTGCAGATTTTCTGCATTACATGCACTTAATTGGATTATTAAGTGCATGTAAACACACTCAGTGATGAAAACTGAAAAAAAAATCAGATGATGATTTTGCAAATTATTAGCTCAATAATTTCTTAATTAATGCCTTGAGTTTTAAAAGATCATAACATAATGCTTGTAAATAAGGTCTGAATACTTTTTTGTTTTTTGAGTGTGGGACTGCAGTTCGGATTCAGAGAATGGTCTGTACACTTTCAAATCATAATAGTTTTACATCTATTCAAGTATTTTAATGAGGAAAGTAATCTACTATTTATTCAGTTACATTTTAGTGATTAACATTTAGTTAATCTTTTTTTTTTTTAAGTTTAATTGCATTCAGTTGTGTTGGTGACAGCAATCAGACAGCTTTGCAGTCGGTCACACCTCTGACTTTTTAGGTTTATCATTTATTTTAAATGAAGAGGGAACCAAAAAAGAGCAGAATAAGGCTTAAGAAACCTCTCTTCCCATGCTGATAGATGTTGGATGTACTAAGACGTTCCATTACAGTTCTACAGGGAACACAGTACTTAAACGGCTTTTCAAGCCGCTACTTTTGTACTTCTACTCAAGCCATGTTTTGGGAAGATACTTTTACTTTGCCACTCTACAGACCTCTGTATGTAGCCATACTATTTCCTTCACTGACTGTTACAGTGGGACGTTAAGTTCTCATCAGTATGTTAGCGTACTTACCTGCTCAGCGTATGCCCTAGGATTTCTGTTAACAGCCCATGGACACAGAGCAACACCGCTTTGGGATATAGCTCTGTGGATCAAGCCTTTGTTGTGGGGGGACAGCATCTGAGAAGACACAAAAATGCCTTTAAACTAGTTGAGGTGACGAGGCCCTGACTACACAGCATGTTGGATGAAAAGAGAATCCAAAGTGTACCTGGAAGCTCACACTGGCTCCGCCAGCAGACTCTCCAAAGATGGTGACGTTGTCAGGATCTCCTCCAAAAGCCTTGATGTTCCTGTTCACCCAGGCAATAGCAGCATGCTGGTCCCATAGACCGTAGTTACCTATAAACCAGGGTGCGGTTATTTAACTGGACTTTGATTTTTAAATGTACATATTCAAAGAGAAATACAACGGGTGATTCAATAATGGTTGTACACTGTTGTGAGGCCACTACACAGTAAGCCTTTAGACACTTTGAGTTTAACCACTGTGTTTTCTTCTGTTAGTACAGCTGTCAGTAAGGCTGTTATTATCTAACCCAAAAACCCATTTAGTTTTGTACTGTTTCATTGATTTGCAACGCAGGCACACAATATTACTTCTCAAACAGTAAATCATATTCCTTTATTCCGGCACTATCAACATTGAAACAGAATTTCCTTCTACTTTATTAGAAGCACCTTTTGATGCAGTTCCTCCAGGAATTACCAATTAACCAACCCTTGCAAGGCAATATCTCAATTTTTGCTTGCAATTTTGTCACATCACTGCATTATTTCTGCATTAACTGTGTAGATTGCACAAGTGCTTTCACGGTTATTGTAAGCCTACATCTTTTGTGCAACATGCTTTGTGTTGTGCAGACCATGTGTGTATTTATGTGGTGGCCTGGGGGGACAATATAATTTAAAAACCCCAATTTTTTAAAGATAAGAAAATATTATGCCAATATCAGATGTAGTCTGGTTCAGAGTCACAGTGCTGCTGGACGTTCTACCGAAATAACTGGGCTGTTTCTTCTAGTCCATTCATTATGAACGATACAATGTAAGGAGCAACAGGCATTTTCAAATTATGTCAAAAACTGAAAAATGTCAAAAATGGAGATATGAGGTTTTCTTCCCACAACAGCGATATGCAAAATTACTGTGTAAAGAAAACATGATATTATATCTCACCAGGTAATTCTGAATCTCCTGAGCTGAGGAATCCAAGGGTGCCGACACGGTAGTTCGCCGTCACCACAATGACGTTCCCCCTGTCCGCGATCTCCTCACCGCTGTATAGGTAGTTATCTAGAAAGTTAGCCCCCTGAGAACCACCCCACAGGAATGCTCCACCATAGAAGAAGATCATGACAGGCAGGCCAGTAGAGACTGGAAGAGAGTGCAGAACATATCACAGCACCAGGGATGGGACAGTATTAAAAATTCATGATATCAGCAACTGAAATTATCACAGCTTTTGATATGTTTGTGGAATCAATAAAATATGCTGGAATTGTGTAAAAACATTTGATACACTTTGAAATTATTTCATCACCAGCACGTAATATCCTACTTGGGGGTCTTCACCCATCCCAGTGATATTATTTAGACTGTATGGATGAAAATAGATGAATATTTTAGTCAGCAGAAAAAAGACTTACTGAACACTAAGACAAGAAATACACAAGAATAATTAATACAATTTTCTTTCAATATTGTGATTAACATAAAAGATAAATAAATAAATAAACAAATAAAACAGAAATACTTCCAGGGCCCCTTGTAGCTCAGGTGGTGCTAAGTGACTACATACACCGATCAGGCATAACTTAATGACCACCTCCTTGTTTCTACGCTCATTGTCCATTTTATCAGCTCCACTTACTATATAGGTGCACTTTGTAGTTCTACAGTTACAGACTGTAGTCCATCTGTTTCTCTGCATACTTTGTTAGCCCCCTTTTACCCTGTTCTTCTGTGGTCAGGACCCCCATGGACCCTCACAGAGCAGGTACTATTTGGGCGGTGGATCATTCCCAGCACTGCAGTAACACTGACATGGTGGTGGTGTGTTAGTGTGTCTTGCGCTGGTACGAGTGGATCAGACACAGCAGTGCTGCTGGAGTTTTTAAACACTGTGTCCACTCACTGTCCACTCTATTAGACACTCCTACCTTGTCAGTCCACCTTGTAGATGTAAAGTCAGAGACGATAGCTCATCTGCTGCTGCACAGTTTGTGTTGGTCATCCTCTAGTCCTTCATCAGTGGTCACAGGACGCTGCCCACAGGACGCTGTTGGCTGGATGTTTTTGGTTGGTGGACTATTCTCAGTCCAGCAGTGACACTGAGGTGTTTAAAACTCCAGCAGCACTGCTGTGTCTGATCCACTCGTACCAGCACAACACACACTAACACACCACCACCATGCCAGTGTTACTGCAGTGCTGAGAAAGATCCATCACCCAAATAGTACCTGCTCTGTGAGGGTCCATGGGGGGGTCTTTATAACCTCAAAACAACAGCTACAATTTAACTAAATGTGAACCAGCACTACCACTGTCAACGGTTCAGATTACACCTATGTAAACATGTGTTGTCCAGGCACATGCTTTGCAGGGAGACTGTAGCAGTACGTTTATTTCCACTTAAACACTGCTGTACAGAATTGTATGACACTCACTACATTTGTAAATGATTTCATTGGGTTTTCTATGCTAGTATGTCATTACAATTGGTAACTGTTCCATCTCTAATACGGTTGTCTATGTGTCTGCCTGTCTGGATTCTTACCTGAACGGCCCTGAGGGACCCAGATGTTGAGGTACAGGCAGTCCTCACTGCCACGAGTTCCAGTCTGAAGCAGGTCTAATTGCAGGCACCTCTTAGCAAAGTCTGTGGCCTTCAGAACACCTGCACAGAAACAGCTGGAGGAGTTGGACCATAGAAATAGAGTGATACTTCCATTTCATTTATGCTGCCTAAATATGATTCCAGCTGTGGCAACAAGGAGTGTACAATGCAATGTCCTGTGCTGCATCATTCAGTGAGCCTCTCAGTTCAGTGTGCACAGGTAAAAGGAATACATTCAACAGAGGGGAACAAAATACTCAGGTTAATACTGATTATACTGCAAGACATACAATAAAAATCAAGCAAGCCCACAGTGAGAACGGACCCCTCCCTCCCTCTGCTAAACATACTACTGCCTCTTTATCTCAAAACCGGAAGCAGGGAGGAAAAGCACACTCCTTGTAAGAGTATATTAGCTCAGGGCTAACATCTAACAACTCATGGATAGCACATTGTCTCAAAAACATTGTACTTTAAGAATGTTGGAGGCTCTAAAAATTTGAAAATGGAAACATTACTATACATACCCAGTTCCAAAAAGTTGGGAAAGTGGGTAAAATGCAAATAAGAAAGAGAAAGTAGTAATTTATAAACCTACTTTGACCTGTATTAGAACAAAAACAGTACAAAGACAAGATTTGTTTATTTTTTTGTAAATATGCATTCACAGAAAACTGAAATTAAAACAGAAATTGATGCCTGCAACATATTCGAAAAAAGCTGTGACATGGGGAATTTAACACTATGTTCAAAGAACGCCTTAAACAGGTAATACAGTTATGCTTGGGTATAAAAGGAGCAACCAGGAAAGGCACAGTTCTTTATGAGCAACGATGAGCCAAGTCTGGCCACTTTGCCCAAAAATACATCAGTAAAAAAATCCAGCTGTTTAAAAATAATGTTTCTCAGCCATGGATGGCAAGGATTTTTAGGTGTTTTACCCTCTAGAGTACATTTTATCATCAAAAGATTCAGGGAATCTGGAAAAAATCTCTGTGTGTAAAGGAAAAGGCCAAAAAACACAAATGAATGCCCTTGAATTTTGACCTCTCAGATGGCACTGCATTAAAAACCAGCATTATTCTGTGATGGAGGTCACACAAAGGCTCAGAAATACTGACCATAAACAAACCATAAATACTGGTCATCGCTGCATCCACAAATGCAAGTTAAGACTGTACTACGCACAGCAGAAGTGTCCAGAAACACTGTCAGCTTCTCTGGACTCAAGCTCATCTGAAATGGGTGGATGCACAGTGGAAATGAGTCTCGTAATCTGAACTGTTTATGGAGATAATGGACATTGTGTTCTCTGGGCCAAAGAGAAAAAGGACCATCCAGATTGTTACCAGCATAAAGTTGAAAAGCCAGGTTCTGTCATGAAACGGTGAAGTATTAGCGAGTAACCTGAACATCTGTGAAGGCATCACTGAACATATTTTTGAGCAACATATGCTGCCTTTTAAATGCCGTCTTTGTTAGGAACCTCCATGCTTATTTCAGCATGACCACATGCTGCATGCACAGCATGGCTGGTTAATCAGAGAGTGCGGTTGCTAGACTGGCCTTCCTGCAGTCTAGAACCATCTCCCATTGAAAATGTGTCTTCGTAAGCTCAATATGACAGCAAAGGCCCTTAATGGTTTCACACGTGATGACTTGTATAATAATGCACTCACCAGTCCATCCAGGGTGAGGGACAGGTTTCTGGAATCGTCCTGGCTGGGCAGCAAAGGGGATCGCCTTAAAAACGTCCATGTAGCGGAAGAGTCCTACTACATTATTCTTCCCCTCCACCATTCCTCCCTCTGTGTATACGACTCCCAACTAACAGGATAAATTACATGATTAAAAGTTGACAGACAATTAAATGATTACTTTCTGAGACAGGATACAGTGGGTCATCATGGGTGATCAGAGGACTGGTGAATAAGTACATTTTAATATCTTTTCATAGCCCAGTGTATTCATCCCTAAAGTCTACAATCAATGCTGAGAGACAAAACTAAGACATGAAATCTAATTTTAAGCTTTTCCAGCTCATGATGCAGTTTGCTGTTGATATATTCCAAAATCAAAATAAAACACAGTGCTTAGCAAAATAATTCAACTGCCTTAAAAGTCATCAGATTTGTCTGGATGACAAATGACATATTGATATTTTGATGAGTGACCCTTAAAATTCATTTAAAGCGATGTTGGTTTTATAAAAATAAATTCTATGACAAAAAATTACTGAAAATGCTGTTTGCAGAGGTTTTCAACCCAGTTTACAAAGATGAAAGATATTCCTAAAACTGGCTTACAATTAGCCTCTACCTGTGAATCATTAAAGAAATTAAGAAGGTCATCTTTTCTGGATGAAAAAAAAAAAATCTTAATTCAAGTACCATTGGTCAGACTGTGAATGTCAAGGAAGGAACATTCTAAAGAAATGAAATATAAAGAAATGCAAAAGGACAAGGAAAAGGCTAGTGTTTGACCAGTGAGCACTGTTGGATCAACTGTGAGGAAATGGAAGTTGCATCGTGCCACCCAGGCACTGCCTAGACAAGGCCATCCCTCAAAACTCAGCAAGAAAGAGACTCTGTGAGTGAAGCCACAGAGAGGCCAACAATCACTCTGAATGAGCTACAGAGTACAGTGGCTGAGACTGAAGTGAAAAAATTGAGCAAAATTCAAAATGCTATGTGTGGTGCAAAACTAATGCTGCACAATCTTCAACAAACATCCCAATAGTGAAGTATGGTGGTGGCAGCATCATGTGGCAGGGGTGCTTTTTCTCATTGGGGATTGGACATCTTGTTAAAATTAAAGAACGAGTGGAGGTGCAAAATACAGAGAGATACTATAAGACAACCTGCTTCAGTCTGCTAAAAAACTGAACCGATCTCAAACACAAGGCCAAAACAACACAGGAGTGGTTGAACGACAAAAAGGTGAATGATCATCTGACTCACGCTGGGTCCATATGGAATCAAAGGCCTGCTCTCCTTTATCTACACAGTTTTTACCTTTCATACGTAATGTGGAGAAATTACAAAACATTTCTGGGTCCTTTGTCGTATCCAATACGTTATTGGCCTGGAAAGAAGTAAAAAAAAAATTTCAAGGTACCTAAAGGCCTTTCCTTGCTCTCTCCGATTGCATCCAATCTGGACTTTCCTTCTCAGTTATCTAACATTGAACTTTTAAATTGGAGTAAACTTGGTATTTCACAGATCTCTTTTGTTTTCAGAGGGTGTTATGATGTCATTTTCTGAGATGTTAAACAAGTATAAGTTACTAAAGTCTGACTTTTTTAGATATCTCCAAATTAGACACTTCATTAAAGCTCAGATGGATATTGGAATGCTGCGAATGGACATGACAGAGATTGAACTATTTCTGATTAAGCACCACGAGTTAAAAGGCTTGATTTCAAAGGTTTATGCCATGTTATCTGATGAGTGTTTGTCCTCTTTTACAAGTCTTAAAAATATCTGGGAAAGAGACCTTGAGGAGGCAATTGATCAGGATGTCTGGCTCTCTATCTAAGTGCACTTCAATTAATATAAACGAACTTAACTTTAAGTTTATTAATAGATTTTATCTTACACCTTTGCGCTTACATAGGATATTTCCAGAAAGATCTGACTTATGTTTCAAGTGCCAATTATATAAAGGCACCTTTATTCACTCCTTTTGGACCTGCGATAAAATCAAAACATTTTGGGAAGGGGTGCATTCAGTTATACAAGAAATTCTTGATATAGAGTTTACATTATGCCCTAAATTATATTTACTCTATGGCCAGTTGGAAGATACATTTCACTATAATGCTAGACAGATATTCATTCTGCTGGTTTATATTGCTAAAAATGTATTTTACTTCTCTGGTCTTCTCCTCAGGTCCCAACTCTCAATTTGTGGTTTTCTCATATAACATCTTTACTTCCTCTTGAGAAGCTAACTTTTGATTTACACCAAAAGACAGAAAACTTTTGGCAAATATGGTTTCCTTTATGGAATTATATTGCTAATTTGTCTTAATTTTGTATTTATACATGTGCCTTTTTTTTTTGTATAATCATTCCTAGATTTTCCACTCATATAGTCCCTCCGCATTTCCAAATGCATTTGTGAACCTGACAAATGTCTTAATAAAAATATAATAAAAAAAAAGGTGAATGATCAACCATGTCCAATCCAGATCTCAATCCAGTTGAGTATCTGTGGCACTTTGGTCCACAAGATTTGTCCAACCAACCTGAAAAACCTGGAGCAAATCTGGCAGGAAGAATTGGAAAAAATCATTTCCAATTAGTGTACAAAGCTGAAGAAACCTCACCAGACTTAAAGCTGAAAGAAACTGTTGCAACAAGTGGCTTTAGCAAGTACTATTCTAAAAGTGTTGAATACTTATATAAGCAGCATTTTTCAGTTTTTTGAGAAGAATTTTTTCTATAAGAGCATATTGGGTTTTTTATATGTATACATATTTCAAAACACTGGATGGAACAGTTTGTGTGTCATTTGTAATCCAGATCCATTTGATGACTGGGTTTAATACTTTTGTAAGACAGTGTATACTGTAGTGTAGTTTTAATATAATATGCGGTAACTTTATTTGGATAGCCCACTGCAGAGGCTTCGACGATTCTTATCTTGAGTTTAACTTACCGTACTGTGCAAAAGTCAGAGACCACCCTTCATTTATTTAACGTCCTGTCACAACGGGCATTAAGTACAAGTTATTCATTTTTCAGCAGATATTTCTGAGACAATACATCTTTGAGAGAGAGGAGAAAATCAAGCTGCTTCAGACCACCCCAGAGTCCAGACCTCAACATCACTGAATGTGTTTGGATTACTTCAGAAAATGATCAACCAACTTCCAAGACTGAACTTTGGAGGAAAAATATTCCTGCAGATTTCTTCTAAAAGCTGTGAGTGAGTCTCCCAAATACAATATACACTATAATTAAGGCAGAGTGGACACTATAAACTAATTATGTATGGATTTTTCTGTCAACGCAAGTTTTAAATGGCAATTAAACAAATAAAGGGAAGTCAATGAGTTGCACAGTGTCATTAATTCAAGTAAATATCTATCAAATTCACCTTAATTTTCACCTTTAACCATAACCCAACAGCTAAACCTACCCTCGTACTAAGCCTGATTCTAGCCCTAACCATGTTGGGAATCAAATGGGTTTCACAAGATAGTTTGTTAAAAAAAAAAAGAATATCTATAGATAATCTATTGGTGGCTTTCCAACTAAAGTGGGACCTAATACACTCTATGCATACAGTATAGGCGTCATTTTCTACAATTAAAGGATTTATTGTACAATACAAATGTACTAGTACAGTATTTTATACTAGTAACCATGCATATTAATTAAGAGAGTATATATATCAAATGTAAAAATGCACTCACAGTGGCTGCATTTGCAGCACCCAGGAAAAGTCCCAAAGCCGCCAAAATTCCCAGCACAGCCATTGTCAATCAGTACAAACAGCTGTGAAACCAAAGAGCTTTCCTTCAGCTGTATATATACACGCTCAGACCTGCGTATGTTGCTCTTTTCAGCAAAATAGTGTGCATTTTTATTTTTACCTCAAGGGCCAACATGTGTGTTCTTATCTTCAGTTCTCATGGTAAAACACTGAGGTGTAGAACTCCAAACACTGATGAAAGCCTACGGTGAGATTAAAGATTTTCTATTGCGCCAGCACTTCATAAATTAACAGAGACATTCAGCCTATAATTAAATATTTGTTTGGAAACCAGGTTTAAGCTTAGATAAGCCTCGTCCCAGGCCTAAAAGATATTTCACGCCGACAAACGAATACAAACAAAACGTCATTTAGCTCAAGACTGAGGTTAATCTTTGAACAATCTGGTCCATGAGGCCTGGGATCACAGAGATCCCTTTTAATGTGTGAATCATGCTTAGCTGCAACTGCCAAGCCTGGAATCGTACTGCTGTTCTATTCAAATTCACACACCACCGAGTAAATAGGCTTCACAGTGTTTCATGTTTTAAGGGAATTTCAAGTATTTTTCAAAATTTCTGCATAGCTAAATCATTGCAAAGTCATTCCATGAGCTTTGAGGCGAGATGTACCTGTCTTGAAACTTACAGAGTCAGAATTGTTCTCAGTGGTGATGATAGGAACCAGACAACTGAAGAGTTTAATGCCTCTTAAAGCTCCCTCAAAGAAAGCTATTACATTAAGTGGTTATAAATACGCTGCTGATGCCTAAAACATCCATCCATCCATCATCTAAACCGCTTATCCTTCTGGGTCACGGTGGGGTGCTGGAGCCTAACCCAGCTGTCATTGGGCGGAAGGCAGGATACACCCTGGACAGGTCGCCAGTCCATCGCAGGGCAGACAGACAGACATATACATTCACACACACACTCACACCTAGGGGCAATTTAGCACATCCAATTGGCCTGACTGCATGTCTTTGGACCGTGGGAGGAAACCGGAGTACCCGGAGGAAACCCACACAGACACGGGGAGAACATGCAAACTCCACACAGAAACGATCCTGGTCATGCCTAAAACATTGTTTTATAATAGTTTAGAGCTAAGCTTTTGGCCTAAAACAAAGTTTAATATGTGGGATACATGCAGGGCGTTGTGGGGCAAAATAGTTCCCAAAGAAACTTTTATCAACATTACATGTAAATCAGAAGACATGTGTAGGTTCACTGGTGGTTTTGGATAGTAAATAAAATATTATTTGTGTTGAAGTCATTGAGACCTCTCGATCCTATCACCATCACTGTAATGTATTCTGAGCTGCTAAGTTGATCTACAACGAACCATTTCACATCAAACCACTCTGAACGACTATGTTTACATCTTAGCAACTAAATTATGCTGTAATTTTAAAGGTAATTTATGCCAAATGAATGGAAATGCAAATACGATGGTGTGTAGGAAACTACATACAAGATTACTGTCTGCATCTTAACAATGAAAGATAATTAGAATTTGTTGATGAGCAGATAACACAGATACTTTCAGCTGTATCATATAAATGAAATATTGCAAACATGCATTCTATAATTTTTCATTATTTGCGAGATTTACTTCTTCTCTGTAGACCTTTTGCTGGAACTATTGAACTTAAAGTATCTCCATATATGAATGAGTGTGGGCTGCCTGCCTGACAGTTCCTTACTTACAGTTACTTACATTAAAACAATACAAAACAAAAGTCTGTACAGGCTATTTGCCTCTGGCCAAATAACTCTCAGCCTGAGCTGTCAGATGTGCATGTCTAAAAAACCTTCTGACGATTAGTTTGCAAAAAACACATTTATTTTTCCAAAAATATTTTCACATTAAATACATAGAAAGAAAGCAAGCTAAAATGGTGATCACAATGATCTGCAACATGGTCTGGTTCCAAAATTCCAGTCTAGATCTACATGTAATCAAGCATTTCTGTCTCCATTTCATTTTCACTCCCTTCAGAGGCCTTGTAGTCTTCGTCATCCTCATCATCTTCATCCTCATCACTCTCTTCTATTTTACGTCCAGCCCTGACAGGCTTCAGCTTGGGTGTAGACAAAGCTGAAAGAAAGAAAACAGCCTTACATCATTTTCTCATTCATTTTTTTTATATACAACCCACATCAATTTATTTAAAATGTACCAATTTAATTATGATGGTTACCATGATGTATTAGCAACATCTTAAGATCACCGATTCAGCATTCATTTGAATGCTACTGACGTTGTACAAGACCCATTAATTACATTTTAGTAGTAGACTAGAAAGGTTTTAAAAGCAAATGTAATAACCTATGAAATGAGGCATGTGCTGCAACCAAAGTCAGATCTAATAAACGTGGGATTTACGTAAGACTGCAGTGCCAGATTAATATGTAACCAACCTAAGCCACCTGGTGCTGTGGCTGTGTATGATATAGGTTTGACGGACCACATTTGCATACCTTTCAGCCACTCAAAACAAGTGTTAATATGACTAAAATAACCAACAGATCTGATAAATCTTGACCTCAGGCCTAAAATAGCTATGGAAAGAATGCAGGTGTTTTCTTGATGCTCAAAGCTGTCAACGCTCAACTAGCCAAAGGTGCCTTTGAGACAAAGTCAAAAACAGCATATCACAATAGGGGTAAACGGATTTTGAGAGTGAATGTGTAGCTGAAACAAAATGCACAAAAAATAGCTGCTGTTTGCTGCTAATGCGTTTATATTAGGGACAAGCAAGACCAAAGCTGTTTTCTTACCTGGCCTCTTGGCTCGTACGACCTGGGCGATCATGGAGGAGATGATATCTCGGAGCTCGTCTGCAGTCCGGGGCAAACACCAGCCGTCACGCTCGTCACACGCTTCCTCCTTCCCATCGTTCTTATGGATGATGTTCTTAATTCTGCCAGTCATGAAGAGGCATTTGTTAAACATGCTGACTGTTAGATGAAAGTAAATTCCAAATATTATGACCCTCATAGATGAAGAGAATAATGCTGATTATCATAATAACGGCACTTGTCAAGGTCTAAGATACATTAGAAAGTACGCGAACAGTTGGTTCTTGTATGTGTTGGATGGGGGATAAATGGGCAGGTTTGAAGACTTGCATGACTTTGACAAGGACAACTGGGTTGGAGCATCTCACAAACAACAAGTGCTCCCGGTCAGCAATAGTGAGTATCTACTGATAGTACCAACCATGAACAAGCAAAAGGGTGTTGGGCACCAAAGGCTCATGGAGGCACAAGGGCGACGAAGGCTATCACTTCTGCTTTGAACCAACATAACCACTATCATTGGTCTGTGCAGCCACAGACCAATCAGAGTGCCCATGCTAACCTCTCTCCACCATTAAAAGTGTCTACAATGAACACAGAGTGTCAGAACTGGGCCATGGAGCAATGGATGAAAGTTGCCTGGTCCGATGAGTCACATTTCCTTTTACATCACATAAACAGAAAGGTATGTGTGCAATTTTGGGAAGCGATGGCATCAGGATGCACTGTGGGAAGAAGACATGCTTGTGGAGGGGGAACAATGTGCTGGCAATCAGGCATAACATTATGACCATCTCCTTGTTTTTACGCTCATTGTCCATTTTATCAGCTCCACTTACTACATAGGTGCACTTTGTAGTTCTACAGTTACAGACTGTAGTCCATCTGTTTCTCTGTATACTTTGTTAGCCCCCTTTTACCCTGTTCTTCAGTGGTCAGGACCCCCATGGACCCTCACAGAGCAGGTACTATTTGGGTGGTGGATCATTCTCAGCACTGCAGTAACACTGACGTGGTAGTGGTGTGTTAGTGTGTGTTGCGCTGGTCTGAGTGGATCAGACACAGCAGTGTTGCTGGATTTTTTAAACACCTCAGTGTCACTGCTGGACTGAGAATAGTCCACCAACCGAAAATATCCAGCCAACAGTGTCCTGTGGGCAGCGTCCTGTGACCACTGATGAAGGACTAGAGGATAACCAACACAAACTGTGCAGCAGCAGATGAGCTATCGTCTCTGACTTTACATCTACAAGGTGGACTGACAAGGTAGGAGTGTCTAATAGAGTGGACAGTGAGTGGACACAGTGTTTAAAAACTCCAGCAGCACTGCTGTGTCTGATCCACTCAAATTACAATATGTACTTTTCACCATTTAGATTTTTTCTGTGGCTTGTAAAACTGACACAGTCCATTAGCAGATTAGCAGGGCCACATTTAAAAAATGCTGTTAAAAACCACTATGATGTTTTTTTTACGCATTGTATCACGTATTATGCTGCGCTACATTCAATTACGCAAAACCAAGGCGAAACCTTGGACATCTTAATGGAATATGCAGTTCTTTATGATATTGTCAATATGCTCAAAAATGCCCATCATCATTATTTATTGTGATAAAAGTGTCATATTGTCCACTCCTTTGTGGCAGCCAGACACAGATAAACATTTGCCCTTACTTCTCAACATCCAGATCACACAGCTGGTAAAACATCTGTCGATAGGGTGGCAGCATTCCCTCACGGAATATATAGGCTGAATCCTGCAAGAGACAGAGAAAGGCTTTACTAAGAAACTGTGGAAGTGCTTCGCTTTTCTTCTCTCATTTTTCTATTATTCTGTATTCTTAATATAACCTAAAAGAACCAGTCCGCACATTAAAAAGCTTCTGACTAATCAGGTAGATCAAAAAGTGATGTAAGATATTATAAAAGGTTATATTTTGATTGAACCTGAATGTTTAGAAGGTAGGGTACTCACCTTCAGCATGTATTTTGCTGAAGAAAGTTTGCCTGAGGATGAAGCACCGTCTTGGGTGATTTCCTTCAGGCTAGCTGGCTGAGGAACTGATGATATCATAAGACACAGATATCAATCGATCATTTAAAGGTTCAGCTGGTTTGATTTAGATACTCTATGATGTGCACGTGTGACTTTTGTCTGTTGGTTTCTATGCAAAGTAATGACAAAATACATGGCCAAATCATAAAGGATGATTTTCTGCAAAACAAAACTGAACATACAACAAATACATTTTCTACACTTAAGTGTTTATTGAGTTTTTTTTTTTTTACA